GTCCACACAGCGGCGTTGGAAGCTTCTTCCACTTTTCGCCGAACTGCATTGTGGGAAGCAGAGCGGAGCTTTCCTGGCGTTTCAAGCTGCAAAAGTTGAGCAATGTTTTGAAGCTTCTGAAGCTTTCGGCCGAAGCCAATCAAATCATATGCCAGTACAAGCTCTAGCCAATCAAACCGCTGCTTGTGTGTCAGGGGCGGGAGATTCATGTGATTGGTTGTTGGTCGAGCTTCAGACACGCCCACCGGCAAGCTTTTTCCAAAGCCGCTGTGTGGACGGGCCGTTTATAAACCAATACAATAACATGGTCTAAAACAACAATATCTGCAAATGCACTTGTATGTAAAAGATGTATTGTGTTTATCATCTAAAGGCAAAATAAAGTTGCCTGTTCACCTGCAGGTAAGTAATGTCTAAATATGTTTCCGATGCTATAAGGAAGCTGGTTACAATCTTTGAATTTTCTCTGCACAAAATGTATTCAGGAAAATGTAAAAAACGTCCCTAAAGAAGCTGGTGTTCACTTGCCAAAGAAACATCAGCGTGTCACGGTCGGCCATGTTTTCTGTTTGCGTTGGGCACCTGGAACGTTCTGCAGGTCGGGGAAAATGGTCTGGAACGCAGCTTGAGTGCTTTTCTGGAAGCCAACTGAAATGTGTCTGAAGAACTAAATGTCAAAAACTGTCAGTTTTAACGCAGAAGACGAAGATTAGTTTTCCTAAAGCTTTGTACTCTTTTATTAAATCTGAATATGCCTGGGTTTTAGAGTAAAAGAGTAATCAAGGGATTTGAAGATATTGTTTTAGGGTTTATAAAATTGTAATTATCCCTACTTTGATCCATTTTATTTTATATAGAAAACAAGGAATAATCTCTCCTTGAAAAAAGCGTTGAAGTCGACTACTGAGTAGAGGAAGCAGAAAAAAGGGGTTGTAGGAATACATCTTGTACTTTTGAAAGGAAATCATTTGGGTATCAGTAATCAAACTCTTGTAGACAGTTATTGAAACATTTCCAACTTGCAACATAAGGAACCGTTGCAACATAAGGGACAATTGGACATTTGGCTGTGTTTTAGTGAGGAGGAATCCTAAAAAGCGAAGCAGCTTGTGTCTAAAATCTGTCTGCATATCCAGTTCTGTTCAAAATATCAAACGTCTCTTCGCAGCCACGAACACTATTGAGCTGTTGAACGTAATCAACGATCATGCAACAAAACAACAACTCCAAATACCATCCTCTCCACGCAGATTTTTTCCAGTCACCCACGCACACGTTTCCATCAACACAACACACTTGAAATGAATCCATTAAGCTGCTGATCATCTCCCCACGGAGAAGTAAAGAGGTGGCACACAGAAAACACCTCTCTGTTGCTGATTGAGAATCGGTCTGGAATAACTAACCTCAGCGTGGACAAGAGAATATTTTCTGTCTTCCCACACCGGGGTCCTCTGAGGCCAACATGTCTCTCTCTCTCTGATGAAACAGAGGAGTGGGCGAGCAGGACACCAACTGTTCTTCCTCCACAAACAGCAGGACGAGATGGAGCATCCTCTCTCTCTCTGAGTCATACACCACTGTAGCACTACCTTCCCTTTGTCACATATCTGTGTTATTACCTATTTAAACGACTACTAAACGCTCATCTCATCAGTAAGGGTTCGTTTTTGGTTTTTAGTGTATTTGGTTTGTGTTTTTAACTGTTATACTATCATACTTGGGATGATATTGTATAACATTGGTGCTTTCGTTACAGATGTTTGATCCTAAAACGGTAAATACAAAGAAACCGTCTTGTAAGTTCAGAAAATGACGCTTTACTGTAATGCAGCATTTAAAACCACGAAAAGACAACAAGTGCCAAATGAAGACATCCAAACATCGGTGACAGTTAGGGTCGCAAAGGGGCGGAACATTTCCGGTAAGTTTCCGGTACATTTCCATGGGAAGTTACGCTGGGGAATTTTGGAAATATTCCATATTGTTTTTTTATTGTATTAATTATTTTATTGAACAATCATTTGTTTCATTGAAGAACAAAAACATGAATGTTGAGTTAAATATTACTTCTAGAAATCATGTGTGCATGTGATGGAGGAGTGCACAGTGCCTGTAGGGCAGGGGTCTCAAACTCGAGGCCCGGGGGCCAAATCCGGCCCGCGACCTTATTTGATGTGGCCCCGCAAGAGCTTGCAAAGAATATAATATGTTTATTATACGGTTACATGCCACTTTACAGAAGCAGGTTGCCCATAAACTACATGTCCCACAATGCATCTCGTTTTGTGACATTCTCACTGAAGAGACTTGCAATTATTTGCCCTGGACTTCTGCTTTCAGACGTAGTTAATTACTAAGTTATTATCCTATCCGATAATAATCCAATTCAGAGGCGATAATGTAATATAATACATTATTTTATATATATATTATATATGTATATAGTTACAACCGGCCCTTTGAGTTCAACCTTTATGGGAATGTGGCCCGCGATGAAATTGAGTTTGACACCCCTGCTGTAGGGGGTGTGGTCTCAATAGCCATGCAGTAAGCAGTGTGCTATGGCATGGATATTCAAGTGTATGGCATCCGTTTGTTTTAGTCAAGATTATGCTAAAATGTACTTTCCCCAACTATATTGAAGTTCCCTTTGAAGAGCCAACCTTCAATTTAGAAAATTCCCAGTTTATTCCCGTTTATTCCCGTGGAAAGTTTCCATCTTTGAAAATTCCCGGAATTTTGCAACCCTAGTGACAGTACCTAGTCTCATCATGATATTGAGATTCTATTGATGTGTTGTCCAACCCTCAAAAGCACAACCACTTTCCCTGAATGCATGTAGCTAATACTTTATGCAAAAGGTAAATAAACCATGCCAAATGTAAGCAAAATAAACTGCATGTTAACGACAACAAATATCTCTCATTTGTCAAACAAGCTTGTCTATTAAGGGAAAACCTTAACTGCCACCTCTTTTTCCCCGAATGCATTAAACTAATAGCATAAACAAGAAGTAAATAAACCGTGCTAACTGCATGCGAGCTAATTTGCATCTTAACAACAACAAATGTCTTGTCATTTTTTTAATCAAGCTTGTGTTAGGGGCAGTTACGGTTTCTCCTACTCAACAATGATTAATGCTAAATGATATTCCTAATGTGCATTAGCCTTGTTTTCTAAATGCATAGCTAATAGCATATGCAAAAAGAAAATAAACCCCACCGACTGAATGCAAATAAACTAATTTGCATGTTAACGATGACGAATGTCTTTCATTTTTTGAGTCAAGCTTGTGTGAGAAGCACTTCAGGTTCCTATTCATCCACAACATGTAATCCTAAGTAACCCTTAACATGCAGTACCTCTATTTTTCTGAATTCATCATTTATAGCCTATTTATAATTATTCTATTAATAAAAATTCCATGTATAATTATTCTCATTATGTAGACTCCTGCACTGCTATTTTGCACTTCTGGTCAGATGCCTAAACTTACATTTCGTCACTAGTACATGTACTATGTAATGACAATAAATCTTGAATCTGATAAGAAGTAAATAAACCAAGCTTGTGTTAAGGGCAGTTAAGCTTCCTCTTACTCTACTACGATTAACCCTATATCTACAGTATATGGTATCCCTTATCTCAATCTGTTTCAATGCATCTTGCTAATTGCACACTGAGCCGACTATGCAACAGCTAATGTGCGTGTTAACAACTGAGAAATGTACTTTCATTTATCAAACCACCATCTTGTGTTCAGGGGCAGTTAAGGTTCCTCTTTCTCCACTACAATTAATCCTGTGATGTCCTGATGGCACAAACAAAGGTGGAGTGATGTGGCTGCAGCCAGGTGATGAAGGTGATGATGAGGAGGCAGTCAGACTTCATTAGCCTTCATCATCACACTTCATCAGAGAGAGGGAGTGTTTCCCGCTGGCGTAATGAGCCGGAAGCATGAACAAAAGCAGATGGCTCTATGAGTCAGACAACAAGGCGTTCATAATTGAATATATATCGTTCATTTCAATTTAAGCAGACCAGCCATTGTTCTCCCTTATGTACCTCAAAGGAAAGCCATTATCAAGAGCTGCCATCACACTGAATCCAACGAGACTTCTCAATACTGGGAATAATTTATAACGAGTCAGGGATGATGGGGCTGTGTAGTGATGAACGGCTCCCCAGTATCCCTATTAGCTATTTCATTATCTATTCATCCGCAGATATAGTCTATAAATTGTCAGGAAATAGTAAAAAATCTCCATCATAGATCCTTTAAAATCCAGGATGATGTCCCTGAATAACTTGTTTTTGTACAAAATCCAAAGATATCTGCTTTATTTTGATCAAATCTCCATATTTGAGAAGCTGCAAGACACTTTTTCTGACATGTTTGCGTGGAGAAATGACATTAAGGATCAATCCATCATAAAATATTGCTGTCTATTCTTCCAACTAATCACTGCAGCTTTCCTATTAATGCACAACCTATCCATCAAACACATTTTAATGATCCCTATAATAAAGACACTCTTAGCCTGTGGTGCTCAATTGTAAGTGACCTTATTAAAGGTATATGAGGTATTTATGGCTGTCATATAACTTCAACACCTCACTAGCTTTTTATAATAGCATTGTATCTCCTTATAGGCAGTTCGTTGTTCTCTTAAACTCAGAAATATAGTTTAACTTTCTCAATGAAAGTGTAGAAGCTGAGAATAAAGGAGGAAGTGATTTACAACGACATGCACATGACAGCAGCAGTCAACCTGTCACTCATGCACACTTTGCAAAACACGTGCACAAGTGTGTGTTTTCTGCACAGAAGTGTGTGTTAGCAGTATGCACAGAGAGAAACTTGCTCTAATGTGTCTTCCTCGCAGCAGGACAGTGCATCAATTAAAGTCTCCTTCCGGATCCAGACGCACAACTGGAACTCCTCTTCCTCCTCTTCCTCCTCCTCACCCCCACACAGCAAGTGCAACAGTACTCACCCCCAGTTTCTTGCTCCGTATCCTCACGTATCCCTGTTTCACTATGTCGTTGAAGTTGGAAGCCATGCTGAGGGGAGGCTTCCTGCCCGGGGAGGGAAATAACACACAGTAATCTCTCCCAGTGTGTGTGTGTGTTGGTGTGTGTGTGCAGCGGTAGTGTTTCTACTGGAGGGTCGCTGGTGGGGGAGACATCCGGCGGTGGGAGACCTGCCCGGCTTCAGAGGAGCGATCCATCCGAGCAGGGAGATACCATTCAGTCAGCTGATCCTCCGAGGAGAGAGAGAGGGGGGGAGAGAGAGAGGAGGAGAGCTTCCTGGACCACACCATCCCAGAAACTGCGAGGGGGGTGGGGGAGGGAACCTGCAGAGGGAAGGAGCCTCATTCAAGGAGGGTGCAACCATTAATTGGCAGGAGGAAAACAAATGCTTTTAAATGTTACAATGACTTACTTTCAACAGGTGAGCTATGTTAGAAAGAAAACAGCCTAAAAATCCAAAGACCAAAAAAACACAGCTATAATAAACTAGTCATCCTAAGTTTCGTTATACATCTTCGAAAGAGTATTCATGTGGTGCAAACATTATTTAAGATGATTTGAACTCCTATATTAAATATGACCCTGCTCCATTCGCCTGATCAGCCTTGAGCCTGTTTTCCAGGTCTCAGGCTTAACAGGTTAGAAAGTCCGTAACTTCCATACATCTACTTTAAAAGACTATTTGAGAGCTCTAGTCATTTTATTTTCTCCTTCATGTTATAAGATTGAGAGAAACATATCAGATGAATTAATAAAGGGACTATTCTTAGTGAATGCCTCTACCTTCTTAAACACTAAGATATGCTGCATTGTTTTCTCTCATTTCATCTTGCATTTGAATCGATTTGGTTTTAGACTGTAGTCTGGGTTGAATGCTCAATTAAAGATGTAACCGTTGATACATAATCAATATTTCTAAGCATACTCTGATGTTTAAAGAACGAAGCATTTCATAAACAAGTGAAAATACACTCGTATTTTCCCCATTTCATCATTAACAGGTTGTGACTGTAAATCTCAACAATGACTTGACGTTATTATTATTATATTTTGCAGCAGCACACTTTAATGTGTTTCTACAGCACATGCCAGCGCTGTAGGTTCAGGTTCTTTCGGTCGTTCATCATCATGATCACTGAAATAATTTATGAGCTCGTGCACAAGGTCACAATCAAGGTGCTCCTCTTCATCATGTGTTACTCAGTGTGCTTTAATAAGACTTCCTGTTCAGTGGATTTCAAATCTCACTATAAAATGTCTGAAGTAACTCTTGCCTGTCTTTTGCATTATGTTAAAGAAAATATGTACAGCCTTGTTTAGATTAATTTGCATTCTTTTACTTTGCCTTTCGGTCATTATTACCTGAGTATGAATATCATTGCCATCTTTCTTTACCCTGACAGCCTAATAGGAACACTATAACATATATGAAGTAATGTGGCTTGTCTTTTACAGTATGTTCAAAGAAGATATGTACAACCAAGCCTTGTTTAGATGAATGTGCACACCTTGCCTTTTGGTCATTATTGCCTGAGTATGAAAAGCATTTCCACTGTCTAATAGGAAAACACAATTTGAGTGTGTGTCCTCCACGTTTTGACATGTTGAATAACGAGAGCAGCTAGTCCACTAACAGATGAAATTAATTGTAAGAGCCTGGCCTCCAGCTTGTAATACAATGCAATCAAAAATCTCTGATAATTAAAAAAGCACGGAGACAAATGCAAGAGCTCTAAATCTGATAGAGAGGAAGCATCAGGTACAGTTGCAAGAAAAAGTATGTGAACCCTTTGGAATGACCTGGATTTCTGCATAAGTTGGTCATAAAATGTGTTCTGATCTTCATCTAAGTCACAACAATAGACAAACACAGTCTGCTTAAACTAATACCACACAAACAATGATATGTTTTCATGTTTTTATTGAACACACCATGTAAACATTCACAGTGCAGGGTGAACCCCTAGGCTAAAGACTTCTTCAAGAGCTACTTGGAGTCAGGAGTCAGCCAACCTGGAGTCCAATCAATGAGACGAGATTGGAGGTGTTGGTTAAAGCTGCCCTGCTCTATAACAAATACACACCAGTTTTGAATTGGCTATTCTTAAGAAGCATTGCCAGATGTGAACCACGCCTCGCACAGAAGAGCTCTCAGAAGACCTACGATTAAGAATTGTTGACTTGCATAAAGCTGGAAAGGGTTACAAAAGTATCTTTGAAAGCCTTGATGTTCGTCGGTAAGACAAAGTGTCTATACATGGAGAAAGTGCAGCACTGTTGCTACTCTCCCTAGGAGTGGCCGTCCTGTAAAGATGACTGCAAGAGCACAGCGCAGAATGCTCAATGAGGGGAAGAAGAATCCTAGAGTGTCAGCTAGAGACTTAAAGAAATCTCTGGCACATGCTAACATCTCTGCTGACGAATCTACGATACGTAAAACACTGAACAAGAATGGAGTTCATGGGAGGACACCACGGAGGACACCACGGAGGACACCACGGAGGACACCACGGAGGACACCATGGAGGACACCACGGAGGACACCACGGAGGACACCATGGAGGACACCACGGAGGACACCACGGAGGACACCACGGAGGAAGCCACTGCTGTCCAGAAAAAACATTGCTGCATGTTTGAAGTTTGCAAAAGAGCACCTGGATGTTCCACAGCACTACTGGCAACACATTCTGTGGACAGATGAAACCAACGCTGAGTTGTTTGGAAGGAACACACAACGCTATGTGCGGAGAATCCAAAGGGTTTCTTGCAACTGTACATCGATAAGAAACGCTGACATTACTTATGTTGATTAGAAGAGAGATGGCTTATGTAACAGAGGGAAATAAACAAATAATGAAGTGCAGATTCCTTTATTTTACTCTCCTCACTCCAACAATAAGACGGCAGCATAGATTAGTGTGTCAGTATCAGAAAACAGATGAGGATGTGTTATCGTCTCTAGCTCCGCACCATTATCCCATTGCTCATACTAATGTATTTGCTTGTCGTGAAAAAACTTTAGTAGATGCTTCAACACTTCCACAAACTTCAAAATATAGTGACTTTCTTGATGTTTCCTCACTATTTTGTGTCTAAAAGTCCAAAGATCACATGCATTGTTGAGTGTGTGAAATATGGAGGCTTTGTACAGACGGCTGCCACTTTGAGACGAGCTCTCCTGTCAAGTGTCGTCTTTTGAAGTAAAACTTTCTCCGTCACAAGCGGGCGCTCCGAACAGCACGCCGCCTCCCCTCCAACAAACAGCTCCACTTTGATTCCCCTCATTTCTCCGTGGAAGTGTCCTCGAATTTCAGACTTGTCAAAGTTGTTTTGTCTTCATAATCCTCTTTGTACAACATGGCCCTGTTCCATTTCCCGCCGCCTCGTCTTCCTCTCTCCAAGAAAACAATGCTGACAGCCACAATGTCTCTTTCATTGCACCAAATATCGTGGTGTCATTGCACAGAGCTGTCCTAGTTTTTGGGGATGTAATTACCAGTTTGGCCTCGGTTTGTCGCCACACAAACCAACATATGGCGCACACGACCTCCATCAAGGTCACGAGCAAAGCCGCCGATATCTGCTGAGCTGTAGAAAACAACTCTTGTCCAATACGGGCAATTTATCGGGTATTGACCTCATAATCATCGCCATTTGTCACAGACGATCCGCTTCACATATCCCAGTCCCTTCACGTCTGTGATGATTAATACTGCGAAGACTGAGAGAAGCCGAGCCATCCATTAAAGCATTAAGTTTTGTTGTTTATTTAGTCACATCGCAGGAAAGAAGCAAACTTCCAGATGCTCTGGTGAAATATGAAAAGTGCCTTTGCATTAGTTTGTCTCTTTGGCGTTCGTCCACGAGCGGCTAAATAATTAACACATTCTGAAAAGATAAGGGGTGAACGGGGGAGGGAGGGGGAGAAATGCCTCCCGTCGCTTACTTGTTTGCCAGGTAAGCATTTGTACGTGTGGGCGTCTGCAGAGAAAATAGAGATCACACAGGCAGAGTTATGGTAATGCTCTGCTTCGGTTCTGTACTCCAGCTTTTTACAGCAGCTCCTATCAGCCTGATATGTTAATAGGCACAATGGGATTTGGGTTTGATTAAATGGCAATGCCTGCAGGGGGAAATGGCTAATGTAGAAAGAGGGAAAAAAGCTAATTTCTCAGAATAAGAGATGCAGCGGGTCCTTGGATACTGAAGGAGGACATTGGTCAGTCACACGATGCAGGACAGAGAAGGTTGTGTGGAGTCCCCGAGGATCAGGCCTTGACATGTACTTGTGATTTACTCCGCAGAAGTAGAAGTGGTTGGAGGGCGTCTCTGTCCTTCTCTAGAAGGTGAGTGCTGAAGAGTGGGTGATAGGAGAGGGTCCTTAACTTCAATCAAGCATCTGAGCCTATTACAAAGACTCCTTTCATTACTAAATTAAATGAATAATAGCAGACGAAAAGACATAATTTACGTCTGCAGATGTGTCCTTCCTTCATGGTTATCTCATTGTTGATAAGCAAGTGTGTATTTGCATCCGTGAGTAGATTTATAATTGTAAATGAGTGCGTGAGTCATCAAATGAACTTTAGAAGTAAACGGTACACTAATGATCATTATGGTAATTAGTGCAGGAGAAAGGAAAGAGATGGGGGTGAATCAGAGGGGAAACCAGGAGGAAGAAGAAAGGCACGGTGGCATCACAATGAATAAAAAGCCTCATTCTCCGGGAAAGGCTACACCTCCTGCTGGTTTGACCCGCTCTTTGTCTCTTAAATTGGGGTCCATCCTGAGTCACTGTGAGGATGAACCCGGGCCGGATCTCTGGAGACGTTTTCTGTTCTGCTGCAGCGGCGTTTCTCTCCGAAAGACCGGGGGAGGCTGACTCCACACAGTTCATCACACTCAGCTCCTCCTGGGAGACAGTGGGGGGAAAAGGTGCCTCCCTACTCTCCCACAAGAGTGATGAGAAAGCCTGTTTCTCCTTCCTTTTCATGCCACGCAGCTCATTTAGAGAGAAGAGGCTTTCTATGTGAAGGAGGTCCTGGATCACTGAAGGCCCTTCCTGTGACCGTCTCGCTCACAGTCAGATGCACTCCATGAAACAGAGCCGACACTCCCAGGATCAGGTCTTATTTATCACTTTATTAAATCACTCTTTAAATTCAATTTCTTAAACCATTTTTTATTTGTGTCAACACATTCACAAGTCACAAGATGGCGTC